TTGGAATGGGTGACGCCGACCGAGACTAACGAATTTGAAACGAAGACTGAAAAACACGTACGACACTTCAATAATTGTCAGAAGAGTTCGAGACAACTCAGGCGCGAACTTAGTGACAGGAAAATCTGTGATTCGCACCTCTGCACCTCGACCGCCGCTCCACTTTCTTCGGGTAACATGGAAGTTCGACATTGAAAGAGTGCTACACCTGAACGATTTCCATGAGAAATACTACTTATCAGCAACCTCCAGTAGCTACTATAGACTTCACTCAATGTATGGCTCCCATACATTTGACTCTAGTGCTTCTTATTGGCGTCCGGTTGGGAGGCACAACCATCACATGTTCATTACGACTGGAATGACCAAGAACTGACGGCCAACATATAGGGAGGGCATAGTTGGGTGGCAGTAGATTTCAGTCGTGGATGTATGAGGGTAGTGCACGCCCAGAGCGAGGTGGAAACGCAAACACCGACATAAGTTGTGTACTAGTCGGTACTTCCAGGAATGAACAAAGCTCAGTGACGAGACTGTCTGGTGTGAAGAACGAAAGGACTGCTGTTCACACTCGATTCAAAGTGGCGGAGACTGAAGAGTGAGAACCATCTTTGACCTTCTGGAGAGGGGTTCTTGTGGCATTCTTTGGCCTAAATGGACGGATTCTAACGGGTTCTAAGGGCGTTCGGGCTGTCACTTACTGGCCAAACTGTATATTAGCATGTTTAGAGGTACACACACCTCAAGCGCTTGTGTAGGGCTTGCATTGTTCATTTTTTTGTGCTCTACCGATCTCTGTTGATGATACTGGAAGTTGTTTCGCCTTTTGGAGGGTAACTACGAAACGAAAAACCTCTGTTCTTGCGAATCAGGCGAGATGGAGAAGAGAATTACTAACCGACACAGCGAGTACAGGGTGAAATGAACTTACATTGATTTACGCAACAGCGTAATTTTTGGACAGTGGCCGCATTCGCACTGATGCGATAAAGTCCAAGATGGTCCAAACCTGAAATAAGAGTGTGGAGACAGTAAGAGTGGAGGCAGAACATCAGTCAATACTACATTCCCCCGTCTACGAGGTTACACCAACCGAGTATCAGGGCGATAATAGCGACGGCGTTAAGTAAAACGTCAGTGGTATGTTTCTTTGTTGTGCTTACTTATAACCCGTGTTCGCCAAAGACTGTCCTCTGCACGTCTCCACAAGTAAGATAGTTTTATAACTGAATAGCGGAAAAATCGACGATAGTATATTTGGCGAACCATATATTCAACTTCAGAGAACTGTCAGTCTGAAAATGAACGCCGCAAAGTCCATTTTGCAGGGTGGATTTCCAGTTTCAGTGTACATCACATCAAAACAAATCACGCTGATTCACCCCTTAGGCTCTCTACATAGATTCCACCCGTTGCGAGGCTAATCCACAGAGATTCCGGTTCAAAATGTGACTAAGAAAAGGGATTTATCAGCAAATTGCCTTACCTCGAGCTTCAATCGCCCGCACGGCGCAAACCACGAATCGTGGGACGTCGGAATTCTCGCTTTCACAAATTTGAATCAGAGTGGAGGCGAAGACAGGCTCATCTGAGAAAGTGGAGAAAGCGAAAGAAGGAAAAATACTCAATCGTGAGTTTCATCCTACCGAGGGGGAGGGGATTGTTCAAGCACTCACATCAACGCGTTGTGCAATTCTGCCAAATGAAAGCGTGCCGATGATATCATCTCGATGTGCATTTGACTGTTTCCGATCGAAACGATAAGCTCACCGAACAAAGCAACCAACAAACGGGCCAAGGGTTTAGCTGGTCAATGTGCTTTATAATGAGAACTTGGTATATCGCCGTTTCTGTAGGACGGTTGAGAGATATTGGCCAGCGGGAACTGTATCGTCCATTACGTGGAGAATTTGGCGGGCGTCGTATCATCCATTACGTTGACAATTGAAATGCCCCACGTTTATTCTGTCCGCATGTGTAACCCCCACTCCACTTTTAAGTTTAGTGCGTGTATATGAACTGGCGTTTGTTTGTCCTTACCACTTCACTCATATGGCCTTGAGGTCATCCGGCCATTTGTGGCCGACTTTGTGTACGCGTGAATGTCTCACGAGGGGTCCTGTTTGCTCCTTTAGTTTGTACTTTTGTAGTCCAAGTGGACCATTTGTTTTAGACGAGTATCTACTGTCGAAGTTTGTATAATTTATGAACTCGTGTCTTACATTAATAGTACCGTATAGAAACCCAGCTCCGACTTTGTTTTGCTTTCCCGGAGATTTGGTATTACGCGTCACTCGAGGATACCGTGTGCCCGTTACAGAAACGTTAACTGTACGGTATACAGTTGAGGCAGCGCCGATGGCTTGTCGAAGTGTAATTGCTAACGCGCTACTCAGCGGTCTAAACATCTTTAAAGACTTTGTGTAAGTGTAAAGTCCACCTTGTAAGTGTAAATTCCACTTCATGGATCGGTTCACCAACAACTTTACATTTGGCTCCGACAGCATATGATAAAATAAAGGGGGACATCAGTTGGACAATCTTTCGCTCCAGTTTTTCTTCCATCTGGTTACGGGATTTCATTCTAATGAATGGATGGATGGAGCCATTTTACACTCGTGTTGCTGTCAGTGAGTATGACTCGTTCTATCAATGGATATTTCGCACTGCCCAAGTCTAGACAGGGGAAGTCGAGAGGCAGAGGTCGGGTTCGAACCACGGAGCTTCCGGTCAATAAATTCGTGCTGGTTGGACCAGGAATGGAATCCAATTTTCCACAAATAAACTCACTTGCACACTAATTTGGTTTTAAGGGCAGACGCAGGTGAATCTCAGCCGATTCTCTCGATCAGTGGTTAAAGCGCGAATTTACTGACCGGAAGTTCCGTGGTTCGAACCCGACCTCTACCTCCCGACTTCCCCTCTCTAGGTTTGGGCAACCTGGCAGTATCCCAACCCTCGTACTTCCTCTGGTGGCATGGCACCCTGTCACCGAAAGGGCGTTACAGCTGAGCGGATATTCTTCAAATGAATGTGCTACACAGAGGCCGCAACAGGTTTCAGTTAGTAGGATGTTCAAGACACCGCATTATATCTTCCCAAGGGAAACTACTCACAAGATTGCTAAACATTCCTTGACAGTTCACTACCGGTGTTGCCCTTCTCGGGGCCCATGAGGTAGGCGACTTTATGAACCAGTCCCCGAATTTCCGTTAGTCTTATATCTTACTTGCACCCGGATTGCATCAAAATTCGGCAAATTTAAGCATAAACGAGTGTGGTTGGTTGTCAGTGATTTGAGTTCAAATAAAATTTACGGTTGATGGAAACTGGAGCACCACGCCTTCCCGATAAAACCCAACAAAGGCGAAACCAATCATGGGGCGTCGGAGAGTTTCAGCAACCTTATGAGTAGTTTCCCTCAGAAAACAGGTTTTGTTCAGGCGATGTGCCGTGATTCGATACTGTGACAGACACCGGTTCGTCAGTGCGGTAAGGATGTATCTAAATGAAGCACGGATTGGATGAATGGCCGGCTAATTGGATAAACAAGCATATAAGTGGGAGTAATGACGGTTTCCGTATGAAACCGAATCCGAGAGAATCCGTGCTACCGACTGTCAACCGTTACTACACGTGAACGGAGGGTTCTGTTTCTCACAACTTACTCTTGAGAATCCCGCGGGATCGCAGCGCTTCGGGCGAAGGGCGACTTCGGAAGAATTCCAGCATTTTGGACAGGATCCCGTTGTCCAGTTTGGATGGTGGTTTCAGACAATCTGAAATAACGACGCACACAGGAATAGAACCCGCGTAATGTCCCGACTAGGAATGGGAAACCAGGCGCACACTGCAGTCAAAAGAACCAAAAGGCAAGACCGTATTGTTGTCATAGCACAGTCACGGTGAACAAGAGGGCAATGGTGACCAGCTTGCACTTCACTGGCATCGCGAGTGATGGAAGTTAGGTCGTCACCAGAGGTCCCCACGGTCACAATCGATAAACTAAGTACCGTCAACGTCTGTGTTTTGATGAGGCTGACCCCAATCCTGACTTGGTCATCTTGTGTACTGTTCCAAACATGAAACTGAATACCGGTCAGTATTAATTCGGCTCTTTACAGAAAAGTTAGTAGCTAAACCGCCAAATTTGTCGGTTCGGATGATGGACAATGGCCTACAAAAACTATCTGCGAGCCATTCGGGGACGAGATGGCTCAGTGTTTAGAGGTTCAAGGCTCGAACCCGACCTCTGCCTCTCGACTTACCCTGTCCATACTCGGCCAACCTGGGAGTATCCCAGCCCTCGTGCTTCCTTCGGGTGGCATGGCACCGAAAGGGTGTTACAGCTAAACAATTTACTACTGGGAGGCTTGACAGCATATATGCGCTCCAGATAACGATTCGGATAGGCCAACGGTTGTCACTCTGATAGGAGGCTTGACAGCATGTATGCGCCCCAGATAACGATTCGGATAGGCCAACGGTTGGAATATTTCAAGTTTTTACCGATGTGCGTCTTTTTGCTCAATCTGTTGGAGGAGAGGATGAAAGGTCCCCACGTCCACGAACAAACTAGTCAACGGATATTGTAAAAGTAATGTTCACTTTACTGATTCTAGACCGATCACAGGCAACAGAAGTTATGTCCAAAAAGGTATTTCTGGGGGATTCCATTCCGTACAGTAAACAGACAAGCAAACTGTAAACTAGTGGACGCTGACCTTAGAATGTACTTTGTCTTCAAGGCTACCCTGCAGAAACGCGGGCCCAGCTTTAATCATCTGATTGATGAAAGGAGACAGCTCGGGCGACTGAAAGAACTCACTAACTCCATGAAGTAGCCTCCGAGGACGATGAGCTGAAGGTTGCATGCCTTGCAGTTTGATCGCTGTTTAGTTCATTTTATGGACATGAGCTTCGCTGCCGAAAAGGCAATGTCTGTAAGCAGCTGTTGAATGCTAGCGAGACTATCACCTGGGACAACATCACCAGGAAGCTCCACCACTGGGTTCAGGAAGAACCGGATAATGGAGTGATCATCCGAAAACTCTTAAACTGTCCAGTCCAATAAACACAGAGAAAGGCAGTCCGGCATTAAGGTACTGGACAATTCCTTGTAGGTACGGACTAGGGTCAATCTGAGTTCACGAGTACTAGGTCGGTTACATCACAGACATTGAGAAATTCAAAAGAGAAGCAACGGAATCGAGGTTCGCTCTTATCAGGGCTCGTCAGAGGTTCCTACACTTGGCTAAGTCGGGGTATGAATGACTGACTGCGGTATACGAGCGCCTGCGCAAGTGAACACTTTAGTGCCCTTGGAGAAATGAACAGCTTAGCAGACATTTGATGGTAACCGGCATTAGGCGGGTTCTTCACATCCCCTTCAACTTCTCATCTTTCAAATGGTAAGTAACCCATGCACCATTAGGCCAAGAAGTGATGAATCACGCTGAAGTTATTCGATGGCACACTTTGTAATCTTTTACGAGATCTACAGCCAAAAAAACCCCAGGAGTGTCTTCTTTTGACCTACTGAAAATCAAACAAATTAGGCAATCCAGGGAGATTCCTTCTGGCACTGGAAAATGGTCGGGGTAAGCCAGGGTATGGGCATGCATGCTGATCTGGGCATGTAGCCATGTAGCACATCCAAGTTTGATGCAACGATCAAAATGAACTGCATCCCAGTTGATGAGGAGCAGCAAAAAACAACGGTTAACAATGTGCTAGTACTTTATTGGGTCTTCAAAGGACATAATCGTTGGCGAAATCCACCTCAGTTCAGCCTGAGCTACCATACACACGCATACAAAAAACGATATTCATGCGTCTCATTAGCTTACTCAGGAAACCTCAGCATAACCGAAGTGCGTTAGCTAGTACGCGGATGTGGAGCACTTCATATCACCGCATCCGGAGAGTTCTACTGATTGAAGAATTAGGTTACGTCCTAATTGGAAATGAGGTCTTCCGTGTTGCTGT